CCTCACCATGTCCTCAGATGAAAGAACCCTCACCACCACCCCCCACATCACGTGTCCTCGTCACATGATGCATGAAATATATGGAGACCATCCATAGAGGACCCGACACGGAGCATGTTACTGTACATGGAAAGTACAAACCAGAAATTACCCCGAGCCAATGCCGGCCACGTGTGCCGCACATCCAGAGAGCCCGCTGTATAATAGTACACGGGGAGCACACGCTATAAATCACAGATGACGATCAGAGGCTCCGCAGTGTCACATGTTGGGATATAAATACCCCGGATGGTGACACACAATGCTCGTCATGAATGAGCTCCTCCACCCCGGGACCCGGCTACACCCCGAAATAGACTCCAACACCCCCAGACTAAATATGTACAATTCTACTCATAACACGGGATCTATCAGAGGAGATGTGTCAGGATACACGGGATCCATCAGAGGAGATGTCAGGATACACGGGATCTATCAGAGGACACGTGTCAGGATACACGGGATCTATCAGAGGAGATGTGTCAGGATACACGGGATCTATCAGAGGAGATGTGTCAGGATACACGGGATCTATCAGAGGAGATGTGTCAGGATACACGGGATCTATCAGAGGAGATGTGTCAGGATACACGGGATCTATCAGAGGAGATGTGTCAGGATACACGGGATCTATCAGAGGAGATGTGTCAGGATACACGGGATCTATCAGAGGAGATGTGTCAGGATACACGGGATCTATCAGAGGAGATGTGTCAGGATACACGGGATCTATCAGAGAAGATGTGTCAGGATACACGGGATCTATCAGAGGAGATGTGTCAGGATACACGGCATCTATCAGAGAAGATGTGTCAGGATACACGGCATCTATCAGAGAAGATGTGTCAGGATACACGGCATCTATCAGAGGACACGTGTCAGGATACACGGGATCTATCAGAGGACACGTGTCAGGATACACGGGATCTATCAGAGGACACGTGTCAGGATACACGGGATCTATCAGAGGAGATGTCAGGATACACGGCATCTATCAGAGGAGATGTGTCAGGATACACGGGATCTATCGGAGATGTGTCAGGATACACGGGATCTATCAGAGGACACGTGTCAGGATACACGGGATCTATCAGAGGACACGTGTCAGGATACACGGGATCTATCAGAGGAGATGTGTCAGGATACACGGGATCCATCAGAGGAGATGTCAGGATACACGGGATCTATCAGAGGACACGTGTCAGGATACACGGGATCTATCAGAGGAGATGTGTCAGGATACACGGGATCTATCAGAGGAGATGTGTCAGGATACACGGGATCTATCAGAGGAGATGTGTCAGGATACACGGGATCTATCGGAGATGTGTCAGGATACACGGGATCTATCAGAGGACACGTGTCAGGATACACGGGATCTATCAGAGGAGATGTGTCAGGATACACGGGATCTATCAGAGGAGATGTGTCAGGATACACGGGATCTATCAGAGGAGATGTGTCAGGATACACGGGATCTATCAGAGGAGATGTGTCAGGATACACGGGATCTATCAGAGGAGATGTGTCAGGATACACGGGATCTATCAGAGGAGATGTGTCAGGATACACGGGATCTATCAGAGGAGATGTGTCAGGATACACGGGATCTATCAGAGGAGATGTGTCAGGATACACGGGATCTATCAGAGGAGACGTGTCAGGATACACGGGATCTATCAGAGGAGATGTGTCAGGATACACGGGATCTATCAGAGGAGATGTGTCAGGATACACGGGATCTATCAGAGGAGATGTGTCAGGATACACGGGATCTATCAGAGGAGACGTGTCAGGATACACGGGATCTATCAGAGGAGATGTGTCAGGATACACGGGATCTATCAGAGAAGATGTGTCAGGATACACGGGATCTATCAGAGGAGATGTGTCAGGATACACGGGATCTATCAGAGAAGATGTGTCAGGATACACGGGATCTATCAGAGGAGACGTGTCAGGATACACGGGATCTATCAGAGGAGATGTGTCAGGATACACGGGATCTATCAGAGGAGATGTGTCAGGATACACGGGATCTATCAGAGGAGATGTGTCAGGATACACGGGATCTATCAGAGGAGACGTGTCAGGATACACGGGATCTATCAGAGGAGATGTGTCAGGATACACGGGATCTATCAGAGGAGATGTGTCAGGATACACGGGATCTATCAGAGGAGATGTGTCAGGATACACGGCATCTATCAGAGAAGATGTGTCAGGATACACGGCATCTATCAGAGAAGATGTGTCAGGATACACGGCATCTATCAGAGGACACGTGTCAGGATACACGGGATCTATCAGAGGACACGTGTCAGGATACACGGGATCTATCAGAGGACACGTGTCAGGATACACGGGATCTATCAGAGGAGATGTGTCAGGATACACGGGATCTATCAGAGGAGATGTGTCAGGATACACGGGATCTATCAGAGGAGATGTGTCAGGATACACGGGATCTATCAGAGGAGATGTCAGGATACATGGGATCTATCGGAGGACACGTGTCAGGATACACGGGATCTATAAGAGGAGATGTGTCAGGATACACGGGATCTATCAGAGGACACGTGTCAGGATACACGGGATCTATCAGAGGAGATGTGTCAGGATACACGGGATCTATCAGAGGACACGTGTCAGGATACACGGGATCTATCAGAGGACACGTGTCAGGATACACGGGATCTATCAGAGGACACGTGTCAGGATACACGGGATCTATCGGAGGAGATATGTCAGGATACACGGGATCTATCGGAGGACACGTGTCAGGTGATCAGAGAGAACATTGTAGTCGGAAGGAGAAGACGTCTCTGAGCAGATCGATGTTCCGGTGACCACAGATGAAATATTAATAAGAATTGTACACGGGACACGGGGACGTCACATGAACAGATGAGACAGAAGTATCTGAAACATGGAGGAGGCTCAGAAAAATGAAAGTCATGTCTGATTTACATGAATGATGGGTTCCTCCATTTTCATAGAAGGTCACGGAGAAAGTTGTCCCATCTGTATGTATGTAAGGCTTCCAGCATGGCGTGTAATGGCGGCACTCCCAGCACACGGATATATGACGCATGTCAGGTCTTACCTATCCGGGCGCAGATGGTCATCAGGAGGTCGCTCATAGTCTTGGAGTCATCGACCATAACCGTCTTCACCGTCCCATCCAACATGCGAATCTTCAGAGGCCGCTGCTTCTTCCGGTACTCCAAGGTGTCCTGAGAACACGGAACACATGTGTGATTATATCACGTGTCCTGAACATGGGACATGAGGGTCAGGCGGGAAAATGACACCACACCACCGTCAGATATATCACATGACCTCACACACCTCTGTCAGATATATCACATGACCTCACACACCGCTGTCAGAAATATCACATGACCTCACACACCGCTGTCAGATATATCACATGACCTCACACACCGCTGTCAGATATATCACATGACCTCACACACCGCTGTCAGATATATCACATGACCGCACACGCGTGATAAAGAGATCCTGGGTTGGACATTCTCACCCCATTACGTAACATGTAATAGTCGAGCGCCTTCCCGGCCTCCAACCAGATTCCTTTCTTGGGATCTTCATCCGATAAGAACAATCCAAAGTCATTGGCTGCGGAGACAAGGAGAGCGGGAGAGTGAGAGCAGCATGTTCCCAGTGAAACCCCCTCCACAGACCAGACCCGAGTTCCCAGCTCCGCCCACCTGCCCTGAGATGTGGAATGGGGCCCTGGATGTCCGGGAGGGGAGGGCTCACACTGACCA